TCTCACCCTTTAGTTGACAAAAGCCTTGCAACCCTTCGGTCTAGGGCTTCACTGTACTGATCTAACCCTGAATTCTTCCATCATAGGGTTAACATTGGAAGTTAGAGTAACACGCGTTACGCTTGAATGTGGAATATCGAAAATGAGATTTGAAGTCCTCATGTGACAAGGCCTTCCTTCTCACTTCTTAATCATGGATTTTGATTAAATTCGATGAACTGAGTTCCCACTGTGCTTTTCTTTTCGGGCTTGCTGATGCATTTCGCAGGCTGTGAGGGTTTTTTCTTTTTGACTTTCACAATTTCCGCACGGCTGAAGCTGTTCTAATTTTGAATCCAATTTTTTTCAGCAAAGTTCTTTCTGGACTTCGTATACAAGTCAGCTTGGAGAAGGCATATCTCAACCTATCTGAAATCCAATAGTTTAAAAGTTCCGTTATGCTTGATTGATTGATAAATTCTGAAAAACGTGTAATTTATGTTCCATAAATTGTGTATTCATGCGGTGTTTCTTTTTGTTTAGGTAGAGAATAGTAGAGCTTTCATTAGGTACCTGCGATGAGTATTACCGATTTGTTGTTGGTTACAGTTTGGTAATAGTTATGAGGTTGTATTTATCCTACTGCGCTTACCTACTTTTCTACTTTTTTGTGTTCTCTATGTATTACATTTTCTTTCGTTTTACATTATTTTCTTTTCTGATATGATGTCACATTTCATAAAAAAAACTACTCATTCAAAAGTGTTGTTGAACGAGAAGAAATGGTTTTCTACTCCTCATGTATAAATTATACGTACTATTGTTGTTATTGAAACATTAGTTTGCGGATCTCTTATAAAGTTTGCTTTTGATTTGAAAGAGCGATCAGTTTCAACATTACTTTTGGATCAGAAACTGCTGCAGACCACCCTTCTGAACGCCATGTTGTAAGAAAAATGCAGCGAGTTGCGGCTTTTACGTAATTGGGCCCTATGTAGCACGACGAGTACGTAAGTGATCAAAATAATTGAGGAAGAAAATCTGCGCAGGGTCAACGAGAGAGCAATCCGCGGACGATCTGATTTGAGGCGGCAAAAGACAGCAACGAGGAGTTCCGATATTCGGCCGACCGAAAAAGGCGGAGGGGGGGGGGTGCGTATAACTTTCACCATGGATCCATATTTTCCACACGCTGATCATTTCCAATTGCCACACCCGGAACCCGCGGTGAAATGCAGGTGTGAAAATAGGCTCCGATCGTGAAAGTACAACGCAAACTACCAATCGCAATACTATCCCCGTTCATCCAAGGGTGGAGGAGCTTTCTATGCTCCGTGCGACTGCCATTACAAACGAAGTAAATATACATGCCCAGAGAGTTTCACTACCCTTAGTCCGATGTTTCAAAGGAGCGGAAAGCGCCGCAGATCTTGGCCACTTGTAAGAGAGCAGCTTTTTCCCTTGCGAGACACTTAAAAAACACTGATGGCAAGTCAATTCTAGGCGCAAGAGCACCTTCCACACATAAAGGCACATATTCCGGATGACAGTCTTGCTAGAACAAAAATCTAAGTGAACTCGGTGCAGATTTAATAACTTGCTACATTTGAGCTTGCATAGCGCAATGCTCATCGTAAAGCTAGTCTGGCATTAGTAATCGAGATCACATTCTATTTCTACATGGGACGAAAATTTTGGCATTACGCTCGTAAATCACATCTTCGTGTAGAATTCAATACTTTTACCCCGCTTCTCATTATCTGAATTTTGAAGCAGGAGTAAATTATGGACGTTTTCGAAGACTGACACACAGTCGACGTTTCCACGGAAAATGCGGCTTTCTTGAAATGTCCGAGGCAAAAAAGAAGATCAGTGCGCGGCAACAACCGAAAGACCCTTTGAAAGAGTGCCTTTTTGAAAAAGTTTCAACAATGATTTGAAGCGTCTAACCTTCCTGATGTTCGATATTCAGTCCATTGCGATACGCGAATCTGACACGATAAAACTTACTCACTATGGAGAAAGCCGACAAGAACGTGCACAAGAGATGATGACAGCTCACGAGCGCTTCTCGAATAACAGGAAGAAATCGGATCACAAACCCCTAAAAACGGAACAACGGGACTATTTTTTGAAAAAATTTTCAGGTGCTTGTTTGAAAGCTCTAATCTTCTAGTTTCTAATTAGCCTTAGACATCTGCAAAAAGTTGATTATGAAGAAAGTTATGAATGTTTGAATGTCGAAAACTCGCGTGTGCACAAAAAACGGTCCACATGCTGCATAAATGACCGTGCTGTTGTGTCTGAAGTACTGATAAAAACACATAGATTGGTGGCGGAACGCGAGCAGTGTGCAGACTCGAAATGGAACACCTTTGTTCGTTGCATTGCTGTAACTCTCATTGATGCTGCTCCTCAATCCCGACGCTCTGTCTGCTAAACAAGCGGCTGGAGACTCAGACGACACGAGACGATGCGAGGAGGCGTACCGGGCCAGTTGGGCCGTGGGGAAGGCCATGCTGGATCGCCGAGGGCATATCTTTTGATGTGTATGCGCGTTGGTCCGTACTGTTGGGATCTAGGTACGCCTGTATCTCCCCCTTTTTGATCGCCCTTATCATGGAATGTCCTTTAAGTATCAAGCAAGTTGACACCCGAGCTGTCACATGAGGGTTATAGTTGCAGTTGATGTGTTCAGGAGTACTGGTGGACCCTCAGTTTGCGAGTCTTTGATTATGCAATAAGAGAAGCACGGAAATGCTCTATATGCTTTATTCATTGAGTATATATTATTAGACAACTGATAAAGCGAAAAAAAACAGCAGAAATATGAGGGTAATGAAATGAAGACAATCAGAACTTCGGACGCTTGTAGTCTCTGAAACTAAAATTTAACCAAGATTTTGACACCGAAAATTAAAAAAGAAAGAATCACAAAGGAGTCGTTCAAGATGTGGAATTTCTCAACGCAGTTCCTAATGTAGGAAGATGTGCATGGAACACCAGACAGTCCAGTTTTCCAGCACGATAGTAGGGCGCCAAGTAGAATGCAAATTTTTTCGATAAGTGCACTTTTTGCTACCAGGTGCTGCATACGATTTGTAACATTGAGTACTTGATGTTTCGTGAACTGTACCTTGGAATCAACGTGATATTTGGTCCGGAATGATGAGATACCCATGCACGTACTGAGAAGAGTAGTTGGTTCTACCAAAGGGTCATGTTTCTTAAAGGGACAACTTCAAATGAGGTCGTATGAAACAATATCTTCTTGGGTAGGATCAAGTTGCCCACGAGGATAGCAGATGTGCCGTTTTGCGGCTCCAAAGTAAGCGATAAGGCGAAGGTTCCACAAAGTGTGCTAATGACGACCAATGTGAGCTAATGGACGAGATACCACACAATGCGTGACATGCAACGTGGATTACGACGTAGCGACTGACTCAAATACGCGGGTTATTGGAGCCATGGGGCATGCGAGTTCAGACAATTCCTCCGACCGCCCCTCCCTCATTTCAGAAAGAAAAGGAAGGAGTTTGTCAATGGGCCGATTACCTTCCCTTTTTTTATACCAGATTAGTCCCCCGTCAACCGCCGGGACCTTCCTTTCCTGCGCAAGCTTTCTATCCTCCGCTATGGTCCCTTCCTCCTGTGACACCAACACCTCCTGGAAGTGACGCGTATGCAACACAATGGTGTTTCAAACAGTAGAAGGGACACAATCATGATATGACGGTAGATTTTTCGCTTCCCTTCCTCATCCTCCCTTCCTCTCTCCACTGCCCTCCAGCTGCCACTGCAGCACCATGTGGAATGAACGGAAGTGTGCTAAGCAGGTGTTTATATAGCCCTAAGAGTGTTATCACAACTATCCTGCTACAAAACATTGATATCTCAAATCCTGTAAGCTACCCGATTTGTTAGCGGTTTGTTTATCCCATGAGCTTCCTTCTCACTCACTTCATTTTGCGGACGGACACACATACATACACACACACTCACACACACACATACAGATACACAAACCGACACACAAAGTTAGCGCTTTATAAAATAGAAGGATTTCAGCCAACTTGGCAGTCACAATTTGATTATCTATTATTGATATCAATTTTATTATTTTACCCTACCAATTTGATGTGGAGTTGTTATCTTAAGGTG